GGCAACAACGGAACATTTTTTTTATTTTAATGAGTTGCCAATTCAGCTAATTTTTTTGCTAGGTTTAGTGGATTTATGAACAATCTAGCTAAAAAAAAGTCAAACAATTCTAATGGAAACAATATGATTTGGGTATTTTTATTAAAATATCTAGCTGTAAATTTGAATTTTGAGTTGGCAACACTATTTTTAATTAATATATATGCAGATGTGGATTGGATGTTGTTTGAATATTTTACATAGTGTTGTGACAAAACAAGTCTTACATTGTTATCCGATCTGGTTCATCTGTCTTTTAATATTATTATTCAAGGTTTGTATTTTTCTACATTCTTAAATTATAATGGCACAGAAACAAATGAGGTTTAATCTCCAATGGCTGGATCCAGCTATTCATCCAGAATTCAATTCCTGGTTAGGAACTGTAAAAGATGATGATACAAAAGCATTTTGCTGCATTTGTTGTAAAGTTTTCTCATTAAGTAATATGGGAAAGTGTGCATCAGTATCATATGCAAATAGTTCTAGTCATGTTGAAATAAAAAGATTGAAGTCAGAACAAACTTCACTGATAAGGTTTTTAACCCCAACAAATTAAAACTCTTCTGATAGTCAACAAAATGTGTGTGAAACAGCTTCTGTTGTGAAAGATAGATCTAAGATCACTAATGAACAGTCTCTCACCAAATCAACATTTCTTAGCAGCACATTAACACATTTTGTGATAAAAGATGATGTAATAAAAACAGAGATAACTTGGGCATTGGCAGTTGTAAAGAAAAAGATGTCACTCAATTCATGTTCTGATATTAAAAACATTTCCAAAAAAATGTTCCCTGACAGTGCTATAGCCACACAATTTCAATTGGGTCCAGATAAAGCTTCCTATATAATCAATTATGGCCTAGCCCATTATTTCAGAGAAAAATTGAATAATGCTGTTACAAGTTGCGATAATATTACTATCTCCTTTGACGAATCACTAAAGAAAGTTGCTCAAAGAATTCAAATGGATCTTGTGATAAAATACTGGGACAAGAGTAAAGATAAGGTTATGACCAAATATTTAAATAGTGTCTTTCTGGATCATAGTATAGCAGATGATCCAGAAATTTCTCAATGGGCTTTCAGACATTCATCTTGATCTAGCAAAAATTCTTCATATCTGTATGGACAGACCAAATGTAAACATAAGTTTTCTGAATAAATTAAATGACCATATGGAGACACAGAATGTTGGTAAATCATTTGTGAGAATGGGAACATGTGGTTTACATTTAGTCCATGGTGCCGTAAAAGCTGGTTTTAAAGTAGTAGATTGGAATTTATTACCACTGCTACAAAATTTGTACTATTTGCTAAAAGACTCACCCACTTGGTGTGCTGAATACATTGCTATAAGTGGAAGCAGATTATTTTCCAAAAAGTTTGGTTCAATAAGGTGGTTGGAGAATGGAGAGTGCTTAGAATATGCAGCAGAAGTTGTTGAATCTGCAAAGACATACATAAACAACAGTACAAAGTTGAAAGACAGCAAGGTGGCTACTTTCTTGAGACAGGCACTCAATGATCCCTTTATTAAAGTTAAACTTTTATTTTTTTGGTCAATATCTACACAAAGTGACCGAAAAAAAATTTCTCACCTGATTTCAGAGCAACAAACCTCTTGCACCCTATCTTTATAAAGCAGTTGTTCAATTATTAATGAACCTGATGAGAAAGTTTGTGAAAAATGGTCACAGGGTCACCGACAAGCAGTATCTAAAAATAGATTTAAATGCTAATGAAAACTTGGTACATCTGAAGACTTTGGATATTGGTTTTGGAGCAAAAAAGGTTTTAAAAGAATTGAAAGTAAGCGACAAAGATATTCTGTTTTTTAAGAGATTGTCGAAATGTGCTGAAAGTGATGACATAAAAGATTATTGAGAAGGGACTTGTCAAGTACAAATGTTTGAAGGCTTTGAGCAGTTTAGACCCAGAAATTATTAAAATGTAATCAAATGTTGGAAAATTGTATTTCAATGTTTTACTGGAGGTTGTACATGATACAAATAGGATTGATGAGAAATGTGCTGTCAAAGCAAAAGAACAGCATACTCTATACTCTACAATAAAGTGTCAATAAAACCCTATTCTACAAAGTTTTTGAGGACTTCATATCTGAAAGGAGTGATGACGACGGTCTGGACACATTTTATTTTCACATTTTGTGAAATTATGAAGGATGATAGGCAACTACAAGATCAATGGTCTATTATCAAAATTTCTCTTTCTTTCTCACATGGGAATGCAAGTGTTGAGAGTGGTTTCTCAGTTAACAAATCACTGTTGAGTGAAAATCTTAAGGAAGAAAGTTTAGTTGCTCAATGCTATGATGGGATCCACTTTTGCAGATGATATTGATGAAATAAATATAGACCAGAAAATGTTGTTAACAGTCAGAGGATTTATACAGTGATATATTGCATCTCTGCAACAGAAAAAAGATATTAAGAAGCAGCAGGCATTGAGAGCTGAAGAAAAATGAAAACTTACACAACAACTTAACATTTTCTTATGTTGTTTTAAATCCTTAAGAAAAGATCACAAAAAGGAAGAAAAAGAGATTGAAATGAAAATAAATACACTTGAGGAGAAAAAGCTAAAACTACATTAATATAATAGTTCTTGTGTTTTGTGAATTGTAATTAATTTTTTATATTCTAATTATCTGTATTTTGAAAAAAGAGAATTAATACTAATCTCTGTATTTTGATTGTCAATTTTGTAAAAAAATAAAAAGATTTTACAATAAATTAGATGCATTTGTTAGAGNTGATTCTTTTCGTAAATTAAGCAATTTTCTTTAGTGCTTCTTATTGTAAAAAGATGAGAGGATTATTTAATAGCTTAATTTGTAAACTTTATCACCAAAATTTAATTTCAAGCACTTTTGTACAGTTTCTTAAAATTACCTTTAAAAAACTTATATATTTGAGCTTATATATACTGATGAGCCAAAACATTAAAACCAACTACCTCTTGCCATCAAAAGAGTCTTTACTTGACAAGGCATAGATGCAATGAGATGTTGGTAAGTAGTAGTTGACAATTTCATACCATGTCTGATGAAACAGATCCTGCAGTTCCTATAAATTATGGGATTGGGGTGATACAGCTCATAGCTGTTTATCCAAGGCATCCCATGTGTGTTTAAGGGATTCATGTCTGTGGAATTGGAGGCTATGTCATTAAAAAGAATTTTCCATTGTGTTCTTGAAACCATTCCTGAATCTTTTTTGCCATATAGCATGGTGTATTGTCCTATTGAAAGATGCCATCACCAGCAGGAAACACAATTACCATAAAGGGGTGTTTGGTCTGCAATGATTTGCAGGTTGAAGTGTCAGATTTCAGCCTTCCTACTACAGGGATGAAAGAGCTCCTAGTGCTCCCAAGTTTGAAGAAAATATTTCCCAGACTTGATAGTCTGGATGTAAGGAGTTGATTCTGAGCCATTTTATTTTGTTAAGGATAGACTACCACACTTCCCTGGACAAAATTCTAAAAGTTAAGAACTCACCTTACAATGATTGTGAATGGAAAAAAATGTCGTCATGATCGCAAAACATTTCAGGGAGACATCCACAGGAAGTTAAAAGAATGATCTCTCACCCTCAAATTGTTACCAGCAACGGTCAAATTGTAAGATTCATTGTATTTTTTTGATAGAATTAATTCCTATCTTTCTTGTTGGTTGTGTGGAGATAGAATTAAGATAGTTCTAATTTGATTTAAGTTCCCAAATTGTCAGGAAGGTTTCGTACATATTTGTTTTGGTTTGGTTTTTTTATTTTACAAAGATTTTCTACATTATTGAATTATACATATTTGGGGTTTACTAATAAACAGAATTTTTTATATTATAGTAATTCTTTCGACATTTGATCTTTAGTAACAATATTTTATTTTTGCCTACATGAGTCCAGGCCTGGCACACTAACAATGAACCTTAGTATGTAATGCACCATTAGTGTATTTTTCTGGGCTTTTGCTTTACTTTCATATAATAAGACGTTACATGGGAAATATTTTCTTCAAATTTCCACCACTGACCTGGGTGTGTCCCATAGTACAGTACATCCAGGCACAAAGGCTTCCTTGGGTAAACAGTGCACTCAAGCTCTTCCATCCACTCGGTTAACAAAAATTGGGATTCTTAAGACCTTGTGACTGTCTTCTGTCATCAAGGTGAAATGTTGATAATTGCATTCCCACTATAGGTGTTTATGATGATGGATGATGATGAGCATGGGCATATGATGGGTCAGTAGCTACAGTCCCCATATCCAATAGTGTACAATGCACTTTATGTACACACACATTTGCCCCATCACCAAGATTGAAATTACAGTTGATGTCCTTCACAGTATATTTCCTGCCTTTATGGACAAGATGAGTTAGCCTCTGCCAACGAGATGTGGTTGTCCGAAGCCTTGTAAATGGTTTGGGTCAATGGCTTTAGGTGTTACTTGTTTTGGACCATTTTGTGATGTGCTAATTACTGCATAATGTGAACAGCCTACTAATGTCACTGTTTCTGAGCTGCTCTTATCTAGGTATCATGCTGTAATGATCTGCCCTTTGTCAAACTCTGATAACTCTCTTCTTTTCTCCGTGTTGTAATGAAATGAGGCACTGACTGCAAGAGTGCCAACCAAAGTTTTACTTATACTCTTCCTGACTGTCACATACTGTACATTAGCTGCAGGTGCAGATATTGTATATCACAAAGGTGGTTTTAACGTTTTGGTTTGTCAGTGTATATATATATATTTTTTGTATGTGTGCACTTAACAATTAAAAGAATTTATGATAAAAAAGTTTAAAATTGTAACATCACATTATCTAAAAAGACTTTTTTTTATTTATTTCTTTTTTAACAGTTATGTAATAATTATTTATTTATTTTAATTTTTTATTAATTTAACTTAAGAGTTACTGATTTTTCCCCTTAGGTCACTGCTTATTCTCATAAAGATGATAACAACAAGTGGATTGTAAAATGGTATGATAGACAGCCAAATTTAGAAAGTAAAAATGAACCAATTGAATTTGTACGTAATGGAGATTTAATTCGTTTGGAACATTTAGTGTAGGCAGTTTTCTTAGTTGAAAAATTTTAAATAATTATATATTTATATAAGAAGTATTTTTTTTTTTTAAATTAGAACCACACGAAATTTGCATAGTCATAAAGAAGTTGCACCAATTACAAAACGTCATCATCAAGTATCGTGTTATGGGGAAGTAAGTATTTAGTTTTATTAAAAAATAAGTAATAATCAGTTAATTTTTATTAAATTCTTAATCATTAAATTTAATTTGAACTAAAAGCTTATTCAAAATTCTACAGAATGGTACAGGTGATGCAAATGATGTTTGGAAAGTAGAAGTTGTTGGAGGAAAAGAACATGAAATTATTACTACAGTTACTAGTAAATTGAAATTTATACATTATTTGACTGGGTGTGCCTTACATTCACATTCTAAGCAATTACCAAAATGGTAAGTTTAATTGTTATTCTCTTATATCTTCATCTGTGTCAAGTTAGATATTTTTATTATTCTTATAAAAGTCTTTAAAACATAAAATTATTTAATGATTTAAATTAAACATAATTTAAATCATTATGATTTAAATTAAACATAATTTAAATCAGTAAATAATTTTATTTGAAAAAATGTTGTAAGAGTTGCAAAATTTTTTGTTTTATTCATCACTTATATACTATATAAAATATTCCAGATACAGTAAATGGAATGTTTTTCAAGTATTGAATAACATGTCTGATATTTTTTTAAATAAAACACTGAACCAATACAATGCTATAAGTTCATAAGCATATAAAATACATTAATACACTTCATAAACAAAAATTATAAAGAATTTATTAGAATATAGATAGTAGACTGAGATAAAAAAAAAAGTAGAAAAAAATGACCTAGTGAAGTTTATTGAATTATCACATGAAATCAAAATAACTTTATTATATTTATTTTCAGTTATCTGAAAAATTATAACTTGAGTATTATCAAATATTAGATATGTAAATCAATTTTGAAGATAAATGATGATAAAAATACCATACAATTACTTTAATTCAATTATGCCTATAAATCAAGTTTAAAGTATTGTAGGAAATTCTTTCACAACTTTAATGACTTTTTCAGCAAAATTTAATAAGAAACTTAATACAATAGTCTCAAATATTGGAATAGTTGCTGTTTCTCCATGAATTTTATATAAAAGTTATTAATGACTGTTTCAAATAATACAAACATAATTATAAAGTCATAAATTATTTAAATTTAGTTTTATTATAAAGATCTGTTTTGGGGATGTGAATACATCAATCAAAAGGAATTATTTAAACGATATTTTAAATAAAATCAGTATAAAATTTATTTGATTAATAAATGAAATCAATTCATGAAATGTTTTGAAGATTGAGAAAAAATATGTAATAATGAAATATCTCTCATTTTCATGCAATTTTTGCAAAAAAAATTAATAATAATAAAATAAAAATGTTAGGTACAAATAGTTTTTACAAAACTAATTTTCTTTTTTAAATATTTAAATATTAAATATTATTGTAAATATATTTAATCATCAATTTAGAAAATAAATAATATTTATCTTCACTTAATTATTATTAAGATTATAATTAAGGCAAGATAATAAATTGACATTATTTGGATTCAGCAAGCATCTTTTGCAGTTTATAATAAAACCTTCATTAGTAAATAATCTCTCAGAAGGTACACTTATTGCTGGAACACACAGGCTTATTTTGGCTAATACTGCCAACGTTGGAAAAATAGTCACATTTCTTTCCCAGTATTGCAATGCATCTGTTCCTAATGGTATACTAGCTGAAGCTATATACTGATTCAATTCATTTGAAATTTTGTCTTTACTTGTCTGATGCTCTTGATAATCTCCATAAAGTGAACATAATAATTTTAGTGATCCTTTTAGCTTTTTATTTGGAGGTTTAAATAATATATCATTTGAATTTCTTGACTCAGAAGACTCTTCTACTATTTGTATTTTTGCCATTTCTTCTTTCACTTCAGAAAATAATAGTTTCATTTTTTCATTGTCAAGAAATGGTAAACTTTTTAAACTTGGATCCAAAAATGAAGATCTTAATAAAAAACTTTGACATTTACCCTGATATTGTTCACTTAGATAATCAAGCATAGCAGCTTTGACTTTTTTTATTGTACAATGTTCGTTTTCGACATTTGTCGTCAAATGTTGTCGAAGTTGATAGATTGTTGGCTTTAAAGTGGAAATATTCATATATTTTTGAAAAGTTGCATCTTCAATTATTGAAATAAAAGGTTCTAACAATTCTTTGATATGCTTTAGAACAATTAATTCATCTTTTGATAAAAGCAAATGTTCATTTAACTCAACAAGTGTGGCACAGATTGCTTGTTGTTGTTCTAATATTTGTTTAATTATGGAATAAATAGAATTAAAATTTATTTCAGCTTTTAAGGATAATTTATTCACAGGTAAATTTAGAAGATTTTGTTTTTGTTCTAAAATATTTTTAGCCTTTGAAGACTGACTGAAAAATTCAATCAGTTTTGTGCACTTTTTTAACACAGTGTCTATGCCTGCATTGAGTCCTCTCTCTATTGCATGATTTAAAATGTGGCCAAAACAAGGAATGTGAAGAAAACCTAATTCAGTAATAGCTTTGTTACAGTTTTCATTATTTTCTGACACAACAACATTAACTTTTTCTTGAAGTTCCCAATCGACTAGAATATTGTTTAAAACTATTTGAAAGGAGTCTGAATTATGTGGTGGCGGCACTTCTAACATATCTAGTAAATAGTTTTTCAATATCCAATCTTCATTAATGAAATGACATATTACTCCAAGATATTGATCGTCTCCATTTTTCCACAGATCTATTGTTAAACAAACATTTTCTACTTTCTTTAATTCAAAAAAAATTTTTCTTTTAATATTATAATACATTGTAGGTATAACATTTGCCGTGAGTTCCTCACTTGTTGGTATATTAAATTTTGGATCCAACAATGTTACAAATTTGATAAATCCTGGTTCTTCAACAGTTTTTAATGGATGTATACCTTTGCACAAATATTGTACCAAACTGTCAACTAGCTTGTTTTGTTGTGGATGTGTTTTTTCATATTTTATACTTGCACTTACTGATGACTGTATGTATTGCTGCTGAGAATTTATTTTTTCAGGAGTTTTGAACTTCAATGATATATCTGAAACTGATAAATTTATATTCTTCTCTGAAGGATCATTTGATTCACCACTAGATGATGGGAAAACTTGAGAAACTGCAAAAATATAAAATAATAAAATTAGTATTTTATATAGTAAACAGTTCATTAAAATGTAAATACTGGAATTAAATCTATTAATTATTGTTCAAAAATATTAGGAAAATATCCAATAACATTTTGGTTGGTATTTTGTGATCATTAGATCTATCATTTTTGTCAATACAGCTTACATCAAATTACTAGTTTACCCATAACTTAAACAAAATCAAAAGAATGCTTAATTAAAATTATTATATTTTTAATGAACAAACTCGTCAAGATTTTTATGTGCATTACTCTGACAACATTGAGATGCTATTCAGTCTCTCTCCAGGTGTTACATGTGTCTTGAGTGACAGCTGCAACTGTGTTTATATGGGACCTTTTTAATGTTTCAATATCTATAATAGGTGTTTTGATAAAACAAACGCTTCAAGAAATATTCCAAAGGAATTATGTTGGGAGTGGGAGAGAAACCAAAAATTGGTCAATCTTGTTCCATCTATCAGTTATGAAAACTTCATTCAGAAGTTCTCCTTGCATCTTCTGTTTTTGTAATGCAGAAACATTTTTTACATTTTGCTGACAATTACTGAAAACTGTGTGTTGATCTGTTTTCCTTGAATATGTACTTTTTGTACTTGGGCAGTTTTTCCAAACACCCTGTACATTCCTTTGTGGTGCCTTCACATATAACATATTATAGTAAATTAAGGGCCGGATGCTATAGTTTCAAGGCCCGATTGAATTTTTTTGTGAGGCCCCTTAAACTTTAAATAACAAAATTAATTAACTGTTAATTTACATATTGAAATATAGATTTTAAATATTTATTTAAAACAAATCCAAAATCTAATTATAAAAATAAAAAGTCATAAACCATAAGGTAGACAAATTTCTACATTAAAAAACCTATACCAAATATAAATACAACTACATTTTATTGAATATAAACATATATAGATATGTTTTAGTATTTCTATATTTTTAAATGAATATACAGTAGACCCCTATAAGATGGTTTCATATAACACGGTAAAAGAATGAGACAGATTGTCGTGTCATGACAGGATTGGTCGAATCTGGACCAATAGTGAACGAGCAGCCGAACTACTTGCCACCATCCAGACCACACGTATATACAGGGAGTTTAGGCAGGAAAGTTGAGTTTACTATCGTCTGTACTGTACTGTAAGTCTAATACTGTAATTTTATAATTTTTACATTATCTAAAATTTTGTTTTTAGTCATCAGAATAACTTATCATGAAACGCGTCCACCGTTTGATGAGCCACTCCGCGACAAAAACAAGTTTAAGCAATGGCATCTTCGAACGGTGCGCATTCAGTAAGTATTCCTACAACTTTTTGTTTATAGCATAGTTTATATGGATTATTCACAAAAAGTTATACGTGATTTGGAAATGTTAGAGTCAAATTAGTCTAGAATCAATTAATTTTATGGAAGAAATCCTTTCAAACAGCTGTAGTCCCTAAACTGCACAAGTGCCGGGCTGTGATTGGCTCATGTATTTAAGTGACTCGTACAACACGGAATTTATATAACACGGAACGTATCTACTATGTTAGGGGGTCTACTGTAACTACATAAATTTTTGCCATGAAAAATCTTCTAATGTGTTGATGAATGAATATAACTAATTTTATTAAATATAAACCTATAAAGAGATGTTTTATATGTTCTGAAGTTTTTGTTCTGTAAAATCTTCTAAAATAGTATCAAAATCCAACTGGGTTGCTTCTTGACTCTCAATTGACACGATCGCTAAACTGTTTATATATTTAAAAATAGTTTCAAATTACAGAATAGATTAAAGTTTGATGTCCCTTTAAGCATGGGGCCCAGTTGGTGCAAATCACTCCAATCACCAAATCCGGCCCTGAGTAAATTTAAAATATGTAAAATAATTTTCTTTCCTCTGTTGGCCCCCAGCAATTTATCAATTTCCATATAAATTGATTGACCCTTCGAGGATCTTTAGCAACCAGGTTGGAATCCTTGTTTTACATCATTCTAATCTATTAATTGAATTTTAAGAATTTTCTGATGTTTACTAAAGAAATATTTTTGTCCAAGTGGCTAATTAAACAAAAAATAAATAATTATATATTCAAAGAATACATCTAATCATGAAATGTTACAGTAAAAAATAATAATACAAAGGTTTTTGTAGCACTTTGCTGATTTAAAATACAGGGTTGGGCAAAAAAATGTTATCACTCAAATGGGAACTGCTTTTATTATTTGTTCAATCAATTATACATTTAATATAAACTAAAGCATTCTTTCAACTTGTGATTCTCCATTGTCAATAAATGCAAGAATTTGGTCTATCTCTGAGTCAACTCTTTCAAACATTTCTTACAGTATAGCCTGAATAACCCATGATGTGCATCTTTAAGGTCATTAATATTGTGAAGTTTCATTGCATATATACATTCCTCGCTATTCTCCATAACTCTAAGTCATGGGTCTTAAGTCAGGTGCTCTTCCAAACTTAAATCGTGTAGCAATATTTTGTCTGAAACAGAAACAAGTTACTGAATAACTGGTATCCTTTTGCCCAACCCTGTGTTAACATCAATATGAAAACATATTTATAAGGTAAATATATTATCAATAACTGCTGTCAAATAGAAATATATCCAGTACACTTAGACTCTATTTGTTGTGTTTAATGTAATTTTTACAAATAAAATGAACTGCATCAAGTTATTTTAAAAAGTTTTGTTGAAGCTTGCCCATTATTTTATTTAGATGAACTTCAAGATTATTTTCATATTTTTCATAACTTTAAAAATTTATCTAGTCAAATATATATATTTTTTCAACAAGAAAGTTGTTTAAAGTTTGTTATGACAACTTGACATAATAATGCAGATAATCTGATAAAATTTTTATAATCTTTTATAAATAAAATTTTTTTAAAAATCATAAAAGACATCGTGCAGACAAAAGATAAAATAAGTTTTATTTTTTAACCGAATGGATTTTTGAATCTTCAAACTATAATATTTATTCAGGTAAAATAATATTTACCGGAGTTTACATGCTGAACTATTTTCATAATATTTGTAAACTGTTTATTTAACAGTCTCTGTAAGTAATTTTTCAAAATATCATCCTGTTAAACTAGTAAATGAAATAATCCTGGTATTTCATCCAACTTTGAAATATCGATTCAAAAATTTTCATAAATACAGCAGAATCCAAAAGATGACTTTAATCGAATTCCAATTTGAATAAAAGCATCTATCGCATTGTTTTTTAATCCGAAGAAACGAGGAGGGAATACGAGGCAGTCTAACGGTTCGGCATTTGTACTGGCCGAAATCAAGAAAATAATTTGCAAGATGCAATTGTGTGTGTTTTCTCTCATAATAAAATGTGCACAATCAATCTCCCCTCCACAGAGACTTTTCTGAAATATTAATTTAATACTGCAACCAAATCTTACATAAAACTGGTGTTAATATTTAATGGATTATTATTGATGTTTAGGAAAAAAAATTTTGTCTGAATATTTTTTTCTTGTTTTAAAGTAAGATTAATAGAAATTTTACGCATTCTCTCTTTTTCACTACGTTTAATTGTTTATTGACAAGTTATAAGTTGGAGAAAATTAAATAATAAAAGATGAATAAGTAATAAATGGAATGAGCAGAATCATCGATCCAGTCATAACTTAAAAATCGAAAATTATCATAAGAGTCTAATCGAAGTCGTAATTATCGATCAGTTCCTCTCCCCATTTACGTTTGAAATGACTATTCTTAAGGAGGAATCGAATCATTAAAATAAAATGTTCTACGTCGTTTTTTAGATCATCCCGCGAATCTATCATCATCATCCCACGATTTATTTATAAACAGTGTGTTTTCTGGGATATCGTTATCATCACCTTGGCTTTTACTAGACAAGAACTATTTACAATTTTTAATTTACTTCGATCATTAGTTTTGGCTGGGCGTAAAAATCGATTGGAGCGTAAATCTTGCGCGTAAATCGATTTCGTCTACCGGAAATTAAGGAGCGGATGTGACGCCATCTTACAGGTGCGGCGCCATCTCGCGACGGCTATTTACTCCCGCGCCAATTTCCGCTTTAATATCGATTAATCGATACGTGAACGAATTGGAAAATGAAAATGGCCGTAAAACGGGAATCTTTGGTTTTTCGATCACGTAATTAGACCTAAGGCAGGATAAAATACTTACCGTATCCGCAGTTTCGATCGGAAGAGACCATATCGTCGAATATTTCGCGATGTTTGCATTTTAGATGGTTGCGCAGATTAGTCGTATTGTTACAAAATTTTAAATTAGTTTCGCAGTGAATGCACTTGACGAAGTTACCTCCGGCTTCGATAAAGACGAAATGTTTCCACACCGACGCTTTCTTCTCTCGTTTGATTAATTTAATAAAATTGTCGACGATCACTTCGGGATTATCGCCCATCTCCATTTTCTATTTTCCGTTTCTGCTACTCGCTAATCGATTGTTCATCGTTAGAGCGAGTCGACGATTTGTCGCCGGTTGCGGATAACCACTGCGCACGCGTCGCAGACTATCGATTATACTCTAATCGAGTTTTAGAAGACGACGGTCGGCGGCGACGGCGGCCTTCGATAATCGATCGACACGCGACGCCCGATACTTATCTTCCTCCACCCGTATTTAAATGATTTGCCTATGAAAACGATTCCGCAGAATATCCGGAAATAATTGTTAATCCTATAATACTAAGCGAATAAAATATATATAAAAAAACAAATATTTTAATGGTTTCTGTCACTCCAAAGTCAGTTTTTTCCTCTTACATCCAACGAAAGTCTCTGTTAATCGTCGTTCTTTAGAGACGTTTGAATTTAACCTTCCAAACAATCCAGTTGAATACAAAAGAAATCATTAAACGTACGCTTACCGAAGGGCATTGCATCCGATAAACATCAGCGTCATTCGGTCAATAAGGAAGACAAATAAAAACAAAAGTCTCTTAAAAAATGGCAAAACCTGGAACAAAGCCAAATAGTATTATTATAAGATTACTTTTACACCTGTAGCCTGCCATTCAAAAACTTTCACGAGATGACGATCGATGGTATTAAATATTCGGTAGAGGTTTTACTAAAACAAAACTGACATTATGGCATCTGGAATTTCAAATCTGCAGTAGATAAATCAGTGCAGAGTATTATAAGAACTCATTAAATCTGCAAACGGGCAGGACAGAAAAACTTGATTATTTATAACGACTCGTTAATGACTGATATACTTAACACTAATTTTTAACAAACGAATTTGTTTTAGGGGTTACGAACAAATGGAAGTTACGTGCAATCCGAACATAAGGGACAAAAATAATTTATGGAACGTAGAAGACAATTTCTTCCCGCGATGTAAGTTTTATTTTTTACTAAAGAAATTATTATTATTATAATGTACGCGTTTAAATGTGAGAAAATGCATATTTTCTAGTACCGAATGTTAGTTTTGAAGTGTATGCTCCGAGTTTCCTGGAACGTTTCTTGGAATCGCACGCGGTTATGTTACAGGTAAATGATGATTTAATTAACCAATTAAATTTTGAATTTTTTTTAAGTAATGCCATGAATGAAATTAAAAGTTTTTATTATGATACACTTTTCTTCTTCAGGGTAATGCGGGTTTGAAGCCAAAAGAGGGAGAGGTGACGTCTCGCCCATGGCAGTGGCCAATCAATTACAGGGTTCGTAAATTTAAATGTTACGCAAATTATTTTATTCAAAAATTTAAATTCTTATTATTACAGGGACAGTTTTTCTCCGGTCATCAGTACAGGATATATTTACTTGGAAACCCGATTATTTGGTGGGGGAATCTCATCTGTTTGGCTATTTATATGCTGGTTCAAGGTTATATTTCGGTTCGATATCAACGAGGTTATAAAGACTCGCAGTATATTGAAGGTTTGTTTGATTAATGTGTTTTGAAAGATTGTAAATTCAAAATAAAAATGACATCATACATTTAGAACAGAGCGGCAGAATGAGTTATGCCTGTCGGTGGTTACTTCTGGGGTGGATCCTTCATTATTTGCCTTTCTACGCCATGGGACGCGTCTTGTATTTTCATCATTATTTTCCAGCTCTGTTGTTTAATTCCATGCTGTCAGGTAATATCGTTCTTTTTACCTATACTATACAGTAGTCTCTACAGGGTAATATTGTAATCACAAATATTGTTCATTTTGATAACATTAAATACAAAACTTTTGCTTAATTATGTATCATTTATTATTTTTAGGCAAACAACATGAGAAAAAAAAGAGATTAAATATTAGTCTTATTGGCATTTAAAAAAATAGTTAACATGCACGTGTTATTTGTTAACAATACAATACTTTAAATTGCTAGAATTTCTTACCTCTATTATACTCTTAGTCACCACCAACCTGCAGCTGGTAAGGTCCTAATATGTGGCCTTTGTGGTGTAATTTTATTTTCCCATTTTATGCCATTTAACAAATAGTGCACATACCCTTGAGTTACCGAGAACAAATTGCATGAAAAATGTTTCTTGTCTGGTTGAAAGTAACCAGATGGCATCACTTTCCATACAATTTCTAAAATAAAAGTCTGTCTCAAGCATGCTGGCCCACCAGCTGCCAAGCAGTTCTATTCCCTGAACATTGGGAGTTTGGTCGTGGGTTTGCACCTCACCTGGATGGGGGCTGGCCACGTGGAGTTTTCTCCATGTCTGTAATGCCTGAATAGGAGCCAGTTACCCTTAAAAAGACCTACTAGAAGGCATCTCCTAGGCAGATCATCCAAGTGTTGTGTTGCCATAACTTAACTAAACAAACAAACTCAAGCATGCTAAATTATTGGATTATATATTTGTGTAATATAATTTTAAAATTATGATGTCTGTTTAAGTGTAGTGATGAGAATAAACTATATATTACTAGTTTGCATATCATACAAATATGTTATTTTAATACCTGTACACTAGATATTAAAGTAACATATTTGTATGATATGCAAACTATGGAGTATGTTGGTAGTGTACAGGCTTAAAGCCTTTAAAAAATAAATGCATGTAGTCCAGATCCAGAAAAGGTTGATCATCACTGCAATACTAACAACAATGGATGAATTACTATTAATTAATAAATACTGATGTCAGTGTATCCATTTTATACTTTTTATCAAGTTAAAGTCTGCAATAACCAAATAAGAATACAATTATCATCAGTATAGATGAGTCCCAAAGTGATTACAATAAGCAGAGTCTAGTAACAAATTTTGGCTCTCTCAAAACATGATAAAATAATCATCTTATATTTTTTCAGGAGTCATTCTCAATTACTTGCTGTTTGTCTTACCAACTTTCTTTCCCTCTAATCTTGCTCATTCATGCTATCATTGGCTTTTAGGGACATCGTTGGCTGTACTTGCATATAGGTAAATATTCCAACTCCAGATTATTATGTACCTATTGATATTTAGAATATTAATATAAAATATCTTTTCAGTTTTTACTTGTTCCAGCCGCTGAGTTATGGAATGGAAGGACCGGTAAGCAACAGTCCTAATAGTACAATGTATGGTTTGAAGTGGCTGGAATCTTGGGAGTTTTAGAAAATATAAAATCAAAAGTGCCTTTGTATATTGAATGACTGACAAAAGTCAATGTAGATTTTATGTATAATTTAATTTAGTAAATTCATATTTTTAATATAATCTGTATGCTTTTTACATCAGCAAAACCAAGTTGGCTGGTAATAAAACATGAATTAAATCCATTAATGGGGGAAAAAAATATACACACACTCAAGCCCTACTCATTTTCTCCAACTAGAGCTCAATCGGACTAGGAAAGAAATGCGATACCATTTCTCACATCAAGTTTGGAATTGCAGTTCGTGTGTCCGGTGTCCAGCACCAGTCTTTGATAGATTCTTTTGATACATTACAGATATATTTGTAAAATGTAACACCAAATTCTTAATAGTCATTATTCATGCACAACTGTTTACAAATTAAATAAATTGGGAAGGAGGGAGGTGAAACTTGCCACCCATTAAATATATCATTCCTAAGTTGCACTAATGGGAAAGTGTCATCAGTTCAGATGAAAACCTTTCTCTCTTGTAGCATCTAAAAGTCGTTTCCTCATGATGTCTTCCGAGGAATAGTCCGGTAACTTTAAATAGTGGGCACAGGTATTAACGGAAGGGTAGCTTTTATCCGTTGCATCTACTTTCCTTACGACAGTCAGTCGCGGATGCAGGTTTCCCAAGCCTCCAGGAGGAAGCGAGGAGCAACCTGTTGCAAATTGTAGAAAAGCTTTTCTTTCTTCTCCAGTCATGTTAACAAGAACACTAATAAAGCACTGAAATCCAGGGCTATAAAAAAAGTTTTCATTCAAAGTTAGTTTTCAATTCATTAAAATATTTTTAAGAGTAACTCATTTACCTGTCTTTGGTGTAACCTAATTTCGGTTCCGTATAGGCGAGAATGTCCTCTCGAGTCCAAGATGGACTCTGATCTCCACACAACATCAATCTTACTTCTTCTGGACTAAATGCTCCAAGTTTTCCCATTGGAAACACTCTATTAAATCCATCTATTACAGAAGAAAAACAAAAGAACTTAATTTTCCAACTATCAACATTAATAAAACATTATAATTTTATTCTGCTTATATGATAATTATTATAATAAAATTTTATTTTTAAATTGAAGTTTATCTTACTAAATTTCAATCATTTATTCTGAAAATCAAATTAATCTTTTTCTACAATTATAATTTATCAGTTTTAGCAGATGTTGTACCATATGCCCAATGACACAAATTTTGAGAAAGCAATATTGGAATAGGGTAATAGTTTTTTGTAGTTGACTTTTCTCATAAAATAAAGTTGGTCTATGACCAACTTTTTATTTATCTCACTTATCCAAAAAAAGATAATTTAATTGCAAAATTTACAAGCATTATCTATTGACATTTTGAATGAACAGAAAATATTTTATTCATTATTGCAATCTCTCTAAATTAGCAGGCATAATGGTGCAATCATGCCACTAATACATACACAATATTGTCTGATTTAAATTCCTTTTATGTCCTAATGGAGACTATTTGTTTTAATTACAGTTAAATCAAGCACATAACTAGAGGGAGAATGGAGAGTTCAGCCACTTCTAGAAAACTGAACTACTCCCATCCATTGTTACATATGGCAAATCACTGCTTATAGATTTTTATCTAAAATTGATTTTTTATATGTTAAATTTTTGAGTATTTTTGTATCGTTTTGTACTTACATTATTTAATAGTAGTGTATTACATCAGGGCTTCCCAATGGTGACAAGTATTAGAGGTCAATGAACATTTGAAAGGGGGGTCAGATGAGCAAATTAAATACATATTGTACAATACATATATTTAGTAAATAATTAAACAATATTAACCTATAATAATTAACAAAATTTAAAATATTTTCACTATCAGTTTCAAAACTAAGTAAATAAGAAACTTCAAAAATTAATGCAAAAAAATCTAGCAAGATATATTAGTTCAGCAGGTTTTATGTAACAGAAAAGTAATGATATTGTATGAAATTGGTATTTGATAATGCTAAATGCATTACTTTTTTAAAAACACTAATGGTCACTAAATGGAATCTGACATATACTGATTTAAGAATTTTGCATAAAACTCTTTGTAAATAATGTGTTAATATATGTCTAATTTGATTTCAATGGATAATACAACTATTATATTACAAGATAATCAATTCAAGCCTACAGGAGATTCCCAGGATTTGCCATTTATGTTCCAGAGGTAATGTGAAAAAAAGAAGGGTTTTACTTAATTATAAAAAATATATTAACACTTTTGCATAATAAATTGAATTTTTCTAATTCTTTATACTTTATGATATAAATACAGCAATTTACCTCTAAATGCTTCCATTTGTCTACGAATTCCAGTATGTAAACAATAATCATTCATAAGTTCCACATATTCTTCAACATTATCTAAAGTAACTTCCTGGATAAACAAATAAGAAAATTATTATTAAAACAAATCAATTTAAATAAAATATAATTAATGAAATTTACTTCGTTCTCTCCATCTGGTTTCAGATTTACAGCAACAAAACCATACACTTTTGATGGTGGACAAAACTGGAATGTTAACCTATAGAAATAGCAATTAGTTTCACATAAAGAAGAAATTAATTAATTTTCATGTATTATGAAACTAACCCTAAATCCTCAACTCTGACAGGAATTCCCAATTGACCATTTTCATCAGGAAACTGGATTGTTAAATTTCGTAACTGATTGGCTCTATCTTCTTTGCTTAATGATTTATCTGCTACTATGCGATGTTTTTGTCCTACTAAATCTTGAAGTTGCTTCAGAAATGTTGCCTGATGTGCGTTAATCTAAAAAAAAAAAAACAATCACAATAAATTGCTATAAATCCGATTTCATAATCCATAAAAATCAATTAATATAGAACTTTTTTCTATACCTTAGAAAAATAAAAATTAATGCAACATTTTAAATAAATTAAGAATTGATTGATGGCATAATAACTGACAGTAACTGAGAAAATATATGTAAAACTGATTATTTGTAAACACACAGAGGGGGGGAAGGAGTAGCATACCCATATACATTAATCTAGCAAAAATGATACATAAATTATAATTTGTATTTGAAACAGAAATTAAATATTACAGTGTCATCATTACAATGCAAAATTTTGGAATTATGAGAAAGTTTTATTTATAAATTCTATAATTTTAACAAGAAATACAAAACAGGTTTAAAAAAACCTTACTATTCAATATAATTTTGTCAAAATATCAGATTCATAAGGATCAATTCATTTACAATGATAAATTACCAAAAATAATAACTGTAATGAAAACAAGTCATGTTCCTTAATTTATATTGACTTCACTATAATTTTTTTTTGCCTTAATCAAAATTATTAATATCAAATTAGTCTCAGTAAATATTTAAACACAGTTCTCATTAATTGTTTTATTTAAAGCAGTGTATTGATATACATGGCTCAGATTAATAAGATTTTATTCTTGGTTCAGACGAATCTTTCAAAATTCTGTTCCAGACTTAGTACATTTACAATGAGACTGGTAACTAACAAAATGTTTTAACATGGATTTCTGTGAAGATGCTTTGTTCAATTTGTATACAATACAATAAGTTCTTCAAATATGTTTGCTAATTCTTTTATATAATTTTTAATAACTTTAATAGATTTATAGAATTTTCAAAATAATTTTCTATGAATACAGAGTCAGTGGAGAAAAACATTTAATATCATCATCTGTTAGTTTAAGTGTAATGTGAACCACTATGAAACAAAATAAAGAAAAATTAAATAATAGTTGCAAACACTCTGATTTATATTAGGAATAAACAGAAATCAGTGATAAAAGTCCCTAGTTTGTATAAAATTAACAGCAGAAAACATAAGAAAAGTATTACAATAGCAGAAAAGTTAAAGAGAATGTCAGAAGAAATAGATTTAATTCACAACAGGGTTTTCAAGTCAACTAATTTTGTGGATGTTGCGGTGCAACCTTACAAGATCATTCTGTTTGAACTAGTAAAACTCAGATGAAGTGTTTCTTACTTCAAGGCTACCACCACTTAGCCAGGAGAGAAACAACAACAACAACAAAAAAAAAAGATCTGTTATTATTTTCTAAATATAAATAAACTTTAAATTACTTTATCAGTGAAAAATAATTTAAAGTTTTTTTTTACTTTAAAAAAACCATTTTTTGAACGTCTGGACTTTCATTAACTTCAATGGGTACTAAGAATACCCAATTATTTTACTTACCATATTTTCATGCTTTATGTACTTTATTAAATTAAATTTCTAAAGAGGTTAAAATTGAAATTCTACAGAGTTTTCTAAAAATTGAAGATTTGTTATTAATTTTGAATTATAAAATATGAAAAATTCACAGTTCATTACATGCAATTTTATTTACTTAATAGTAAATATTTTGAAATTAAAATTAACAGTAAATGCTTGTTCCTATTTACAGATCAACTGAAGATGAATGATTTGATACAATAAGTGATTACACTCTTCTGTGAAAGTGACAATGGATACACATTAATATGAAATCTTGTTATAAATTCTGTAAACATTTTATTCTCTTATTTTATAAGTATATATATAAAAGGGTAATTTACCTCTAGAAAATCTTCAAAATCTAATATTCCATGAAACCACGAAGGAGCAACTTGAGGTAAAGTTTTTTTCCATTTTCTAGTACGTTTTGTTTGCTCTTCACTGAGAACAGCATATAAATCATCTTCTGTTAATGAGTAAGCCATATTTGTAAGTGAATGATTGGTAAGTGACTCCCTGAAAGTGGAAAAAAAATTCAGAAAAATATAAATATAATTTATAATAATAATTAATATTTTATTTTTATTAATGTAAAAGTTATTTATGGTTTATTTTTTAACAGTCAAATAATCATTTTAGTTATTGTTTTATGTATTTAATTTATGCTATAGTTGATAAGAAACTATTTATATATATTTAAATATTGACTGTAAATAAATATACAGTAGAGCGTCAATTATCCGAAAGTCAATCATCTGAAAGAATTCCAGTCGGCAAATTTAAATTTTCGCCAGTGCTGTGGTGCTGCAATCTTTGGCTATATATTGGGCTACTCAAATATTTTACGTTTTTGATACTAAATTAACTTCTGAAGTATAATTTTTTATTGTTTTTATATTTTTCAATATATTCATTTTGTT